TTGTTCTTTGGCGTAGGTTGACCACAATCTCCTCTAAACTGTTTATTCTCCTTCCAGTTCTTTCCTCCAGAGCTTTTTGTTTGTTTGTTTCATTTCCCTTTTTCTCACTCGCTTCATTTCTCTTAGGTATTCATGGAGTCCTTGTGGAAAACCCCCTTCTTTCCCTTTGTGTCTGCTTGCAGCTGGCCCTAGTCCCTCTCTCTTCCAGGCGGGATTTTGGGGCATCTTGTGATTTGCACTAGTTTTTGATAGTGGTTGCGCTCTTCTTTGCTTTTCTCTCCTCTCTAGCTCTTGAACCCAGGTTTCGTGTGAGAGCCATGCCCTGCCCCTACTGTGCTTTTTTGCATTGGGCCCCTTGGCCTCATGCTGCATCCCTTGAGTTCCCAGGGTTAGATAGTAAGGAGTTAGGGGCCTCTGCCTCCCCTCAAATCAGAAAGGTTCAGAGTTCGAGTGCTGCATCTTCACAGAGTCTTTTGGGTATTTTGGAGCCCTTTGGCAGTCTACTAAAGCCTATCAATCCCTTCTCTGAATCATGTTTTTAAATACATAAAATAAATGGGGTTCCAAAGGAAGTGGGTTCTATTGAAATATGAAGCAAAAAATAAGTTGCTGGGCCTCAAGTTCAAAACTTGTGCTCAGTTGTATCTCAGGCTGGAGTGCTAGGGCCATGGAAGCCTAAGGGCCTGGGCAGTCCCTGTAGCACTGGAGTAGCTTATTGGATTTCTTGATCAGTAAGTATTTCTTCTTAACTTTTTGATGGGAACTAGGCCCTCTGCCTCTGTTCCAGCCGCTATCTTGACTTCAAACCTTGAATCTGTATTTAATGTATCACTCTTTCCCTTTTTTTCAGAGCTGGAGAACATTTTCTTCCAGTTACACGATTCAGTGGCCCAGGGGTGGAAGGGGGAAGAGTCAGCTCCTGTATCAGGAACTGAAGGTACCTTGATCTCCCGAGGCCTCTGTCCCCTTGTTCTCTGACATAAAAGGACCTGGTGTGGTTCCTGGTGCACGGGGCATAAAGAGAGTTCTGACCACCCCGGGCAGTAGGCTTAATGGAGCCATCGTGCAAATTCTCTTAACTGTCTTTGAAAACAGCCAGCTAGAGAGGTGGAGGGATTACAGCAGTTCTCCCACACTGTCCCAAAGAGTTGCCTTCTGGCTTTGTGAGGGCAGTAAGGCTAGGTGTGGCACAGAACATTTGATCCACAGCCTATGGGGTTGCTCAGGGATCTGCCTGCCTTTGGGCCATTTTCACTGATGGACCCAAATTCGTGGGTCCACAAAGGGGAGGTTTGGGCAAATACTTCTTAAGCCTTAACTGGATAAGGACCCTCCAAAGATTAGCATCAGAGATGGGTTCCCCAACCAATTCTTTTCTTGTTCACTTTAGATTGAGATTGAGATCGAGATTGAGAAACTGAGGGATCCAGCTAGTTGCCCTCTTTGTAAGTGGGGTTGACACTACTCTGTCTGCCAGTGATGCCTGTGACCAGCCAGTCCCCTGAGAATACTGCTGCCCCTGGATCTACTTGGATGGGAAGTTGTTTCAGAGCAAGCTGATTAAGGCAGGAAGAGAACAGACAGCACTGATTGAGCTTTGTGATGGTCAGGTGGGGAGACTGAGGCAGTTTGGCCCAGTAGTGATTTTGTGATAGGGATGTGTTTGTAGGGGCAGAGGAGGGGCTTTGGAAAGTTGAGTAAACTATATAAAATATTGTTCCAGAAGCCAGACAGACCCTGGAAGCCTGGCACAGAGAAAAAGTAGCAGGTAAATGTTTATGTTTATGAAGTTTAAAAAATATTACTGCATTTTGTTTTGATGTGACAGGTATTTCTCAAAAACTCTCCTAAACAAATCACATTTTCAATAGAGAAAAAAGTCCATTAATTCTTAACAGAAAGGAAATGATGGCAGGACCATCAGCCATTGTCTTTGATCCCATTTCTGTCTTGTCTCCTCTCCAGATGGTCCTTCTTTACATTGGTGTATCATTGTTACCTATGCTGGCTCTAACCCCCTTTACTTTATACATTCTTCACACCAGCCATTCCTGTCTCCTTGGGCACATATTTTTTCCCACTCATTTCTCATCACAAATAACGTTCCTGTGAACATTTCTGTATGTGGGGCCTTTTCTTGCTCTACTTCCTTTAGGTATGGGCCCAGTGTTTGAATATCTGGGGTAAAGAGGATGAACTTTTCCTTCATAATTTCAAATTGTCTTCCAAAATAACCCAAGCATTTAGCAGCTGCACCAGCTCTGAACTAACAGCCTGTCCCAGCATCCACTTGAGTAGGGGTCAGCAGAAAACTTGTTTGAATTTGCATTTCTCTTCATTATGAATAGCTATAAACAAAGTGTTATTCATTTCATGATATTTTCAGGGGGTTATTGATGGCTCACATTTTTTTTTTAAAGGCAATTGGGGTTAAGTGACTTGCCTAGGGTCACCCCGCCAGTAAGTGTCAAGTATTTGGTCTGAGGCTGGATTTGAACTCAGGTCCTTCTGACTTCAGGGCTGGGGCTCTATCCACTGCGCCACCCAGCTGCCCCCTCACATTTCTTTTAAAAACTTGCTGTGCTTTGCATCTGTGTCTCTTAAGTACAACTGTCAATCTTAGATGATCTTAGATGCCATCAATTTGAAAAGGCAGACTTCTTTTTCTGTTTATTTTTTTTTTAATTTCACAAACATGTATTATTCTCTACTATCCACCTCCTCATTATTGAAAAAAGAAGAAAAACCCTTATTCTCACAGATTTGAATAGATTTCTTATGGAGCTTAGCAATGAGACTTTAATCAGAAAAACTTGCTACAGAGCTTTTTCTTTTTTTTTTATTTATTTTTTTTTAGGCAATTGGGGTTAAGTGACTTGCCCAGAGTCACAGAGCTAATAAGTGTCAAGTGTTTGGTCTGAGGCCGGACTTGAACTCAGGTCCTCCTGACTTCAGGGTCGGTGCTCTATCCACTGTGCCACCTAGCTGCCCCTACAAAGCTTTCTTCCCTAGGTATCTGTCTCCCTTCTAATTTTGGCTGTATTGATTTTGTTTGTTCAAAGACTTTTAAATTTTGTGTGACTTCATCTTCCATAACCCTCTCAGCAGATTGTTTGGTCATGAAGCCTTTCCCTGTTCATTGATCTGAAAGGTGATTTCTTCCCTGCTCCTTGAATTTCTTTGTGATAGCATATTTTATATCTTAGTCCCATACCCACTGGGCACTAAGGTTGGCATATGGTGTGGTTTCACACAAGCCTAATTGCTACCAAACTGCTGTCCAGTATGCCCAGCAGCTTTTGTCAAACAGTACATCCTTCCCTGGAATTGGGTCCACAGACCACAATACTGCTAGGTTTGTTGGCCTCTTTATGTATGCTGTGTGCCCAGTCTGACCCCCCAGTCTGACCAACCTCTTTGTTTTTTGGTTATTTTCAACCAGTATCAACTCGTTTTGATGATGGCTGCTTTGTAGTGTCGTTTGACACCTGGTGCTGCTAGGCCCTCTTCCTTCCCACTTTTTTTTCAATACTTCCCTTGAGATTCTTGATGAATTTTGTCCTTCTTTTTTCTGGCTCTATAAAGTAATCCTTTGGTAGTTTGATTGGTATCCCAATGAATAAGTAAATTACATTAGGAAGTCTTGTCAATTTTCTTATACTGGCTTGACTTCCCTATGAGTAATTAATATTTCTTCAACTCTTTAGCTCTGTAAAGAATATTTTGTAGGTTCAATAAGGACAGATTGTTTATTTTTTATATGAGGAAATGTAAAATGTATGTCTAAGATTGTTATTAGTAATTGGGTAGTTTGAAGGAAAGATTGGGGTGGAGCTGAGTATGATGTGATACTAAAGAGTAACGGTTTAGGAAAAGATAAAAAGAGTAATTGGCTTATACAAATGAGGTGAACTGACACAGAGGAATTAGAGAGGGGAGGAGGGCTGGCAGTTCTGGAACCCTATTTTTTATTAGGAATGGGTTAAAGAGGGAACAATACTTATAACAATACATGCATCTATAATAATATATACATCTAGAAAGATATAAAAATGTTCTAAATTCAGAAGGAAATAAAAGGCTAAGGACATAGGGAGAGTGGAAGGGATAAAGGAGGGATCTTTAGAGGGAACCCTACTCACATCAGATCTGGGTTAAAGAGAGAAAAATATATACATTTAGAAGGGAATAAAAGTCTTCTTCTAAATTTATAAGGAATAAGAGGGTAAGGGAATAGGATAAGGGGGGGTGGTATAGAAGGGTGTTTAGATTAATGGGGATGGGAGGACAAGGGAGGGATCTTTGGGGAGGGGCTAGGTTAAGTAATAGGAGGGCAAGGTAGCAGGTAGAAGTAAAGAAGAGGAGTCAGGAGTGACAGGAAATAAGAGATACACACAAATATAAAATACAGGTCAGGAGTAGAATTTATTAGGAAAAAAAAAGCAGGGATAGTAATCACGATCTCAGACAAATTTAAAGCTAAAATAGATTTAATCAAAAGACAAAAATAGGGAAAGTACACTGTCAGCCAGCTTAATCAATATTGTTTTGGACTATTTAAAATAACTAGACAGTATAAGGTTGGAATATGATTGTGGTGCAGGAAATGATGAGTGGGTGGACTTAGAAAAATACAGAAAGACTCAGACTTACCAAGGACGATGTTATCCACCATCAGAGAAACAGAGCTAGGACAAGTATAGTACGGCCTTACATAGATGTGTATGAATGTATATGTCTACATATGAGTATGATTATAGATATCTAAGTGTATGTATGTGTCTGTAAGTGTATGTATGTGTATATGTATGTATATGTGTTTGTGTATATGTGTCTATGTGCATATGTGTTTATGTATATTATGTATATATAAATCTATCCTCGATTAATTGTAGCCTTCTGGGTGGGCAGGGGTGGGGGAGGAAAGGGGACAAAAGAGCAAAGTAAAAAGTGCACAGCACAAAACAAACGAAAACTTACAAGTAAAGAGAAGATGGACAGCTCAGAACACAATGTGCAGTATTTATCATATAGGCTTTCTTGAAACAGAAATTGATTGCTGTCTATTTTGGAGCCTCTCTTACGTTCTGCTCTGCACATGGCAATGCTTCCCCCCACCCCTTATTTTGTGTTTAAGTTTAAAATGAATTAATTTTAAAAAAATATTTTGTAGCTGTGTTCAGATTGTTCCTGTGTGTATTTTGGTAGGTAGACTCCCAAGTGTGTGGAATTATTTGGTAGTTATTTGAAGATTGGTTTCCCATCTCTTCCTTCTAGGGTTTGTTGGTAATACACAGAAATGCACACGAACTATTTAGAAGACTTGATTCTCTATCCTGCCACTTTGCTAATGTCATTCATTGTTTCAGTTGAGTTCTGACAGTAAACAGCCATCTTATAGTCCAGAAGCGATTGTGTTGTTTCTCCTCTGCCTCTGCTTAGGCAATACCTTCCGTGTCTCTTCCTCATGGTAACATTGTGGAGTTCACACCGTGTCTCTCAGACAGTGGCAGTGATGAGGAGTGTCTTCACAGTTGCCCCTAATCTTTCTTTCCTCTTTGTACTCCCAGGGCTTAGCACACAATAAGCATTGCGTGTTGGACATCTCAAACTGGATATCCTGTAGACATCTCAAACTTTGCATGTTCCAAAAGGGACTTGCTATCATTTCCTCTTACTGTGGAGGGTACACCCAGCCTTCCCAGCCCCCCAGTGTCATAACCTTGTCATTATACCTGACTCCTCACTCTCCTTCACTCCACATATCCAGTCAATAGTCAGTAAATGTTTATTTATTTAGTTAGTTAGTTATTTTGGTGAGGCAATGGGGGTTAAGTGACTTGCTCAGGGTCACACAGCTAGCGTCAAGTGTCTGAGATCACATTTGAACTCAGGTCCTCCTGATTCCAAGGCCGGAGCTTAATCCACTGCGCCACCTAGCTGCCCCCTCAGTAAATGTTTATTAAGCATCCATTATGTGCCAGGCACTGTGCTAAGTGGTGGGGACACACATATGAAAAAAGAAAGACAATCCCTGTCCTTCAAGAGCTTACAATCTAATTGGAGAAGACAGAGCACAACAGGAAACTGAAAAGGGTGTGGGGGAGGAGGACAAGAAGGGGATTTGGTGGAGAAGTCAGTCAGAACAGGTGAGAAATAACTGAGCTCTGAGCTGGGTTCCCTCCTTCAATGAAAGTTTGGAGTTCATGGCCCCCACCCCCTAATCAGAGGGACAGGGGGCACTGATGAAGTGGAGTGTCACTTAACAAATCTGGCAATTTTTGTCTTCTCAACATGTCTCTCATCTGAACCCTTCTCTCCACACATAGCTAGCTACACCTTAGTTCAGGCCCTTGTCATCTCACACCTAAATAATTGCAAAAGGCTCCTGATTGGTAGGTAGGTCCCTGCCTCAAGTCATTTCCAATTCTAGTCATCTTCCTTAAGCGTGGATCTGACCATGTGACTCAGCCAACTGCAATGGCTTTCTTTTGCGTCTAGGATCAAATAGAAACTCTTGTTTAGCTGGCAGAGCCCT